TGATGGAGGCGTACCACGCACGGAACGCGCCCACGACGTTTGCACCACTCTTCTCCCGCAAGAAGAAAGTCCACCCGTAGTTGGTGTGGTGGTCCAAGATCTGCATCAAGTACTTGGCACCACCGCTGGATGAGCCGAAAGGACCGGCTAGGTCCATGGCGACACGTTCAAGAGGCCGCGTCGTCCGGCGGGAAGGGGAGATGACCTTGGGGACCGAGCGCTGGATCGCCTTCGACTCCGCACATCCATCACAGTACTCCGGAGTGCCGGTCACCTTGATGCCCATCTGCTTAGCAGTCTCGTACACGGTCTTGGAGTTGGCATGGCCGAGGGAGCAGTGAAGATCGTTGTAGTTGATACTAGACTGCAGGCCAGGCCGTAGCATCGCCGCGACCATTGCGGGGGATTTGACGTGGTGGGGTAGGGGATCGACGCGAGTCCCCTGGATGTAATTCCCGTGCGGGAATTTGGTGAATTGCACTAGCCCCCCCCAAATCGATGCCCCATGCCGGTTGAGCTTGATCTCATGACGTTCCTGGATCTGGTTCAGCGACAGAACATCTAGCGCCAAGTCCGGTACCACGCCAACATTCTTCAGCGTAACACGCACATCCTCATGGCAATGGAAAATCATATCCAAATCACCGAAGAACTCTACCGGGATAAGCTTGCCGTCGCCAAGCATGAGTAGCCGCTCCTCCGGGCGCGGTGGACGCCTGTTGTACACCTTTTCCCCGGAAGGGACCACGTGGACCACAGCGCCAGAGTCTCCGAGGAAGACTGTGGAACCCGGGCGATGCGGGAAAAGGTTGGATATTTCGCGCGCAGGGGGGGATGAGGATACGGAACAGACAAGGTGCATCGCGAAGAGACCGCCACCAAAAGTAACCTCGCCGTCCCCGCCGAGCGCCTCAGGAACCGCTCCCGCCGAGTCACTTGTCGCCATGGCACCGTTGGGCTGCAATCCGTCATCGCCACCGTCCACGCCACCGCCGCCGTGGAAAATGTCGACAAACTCAAAGAAGGGCTCGGCCGGTGTCACAACCTGCTGCTGTACGATCGCCCCATTGCCAACGCCGCCCCCACTACCGCTGCCGTCACCGCCGCTGCCGCCACCACCACCGCCACCGGCCATCATGGCGTCACTGTAGCACATCCCATCGGCCGCCGGGATATCACGATATGGGGCGGCCGATGCATCCGTCGTGGCGTACGCGTACTCCGGATCGACAGCACCAGCAAAAGTGACGACGTTGAGGTGAGGGTGCCGGTTACTTTTGGCACAATTGCGCCACATGTGGCCGTACTGGCCGCAGGCGCCGCACGTACCTTCGAACCTGCGGGGGGCGGCGCAATGCCCGGCGTGGTGGCCGTGTCTCCCACACCGCATGCATCGGTGCACTGTACCCATCGGCGCGCCGGACGGAGGTGGTGACTCCGGCTGGTAGTACACGGCGTTACTACCGCAATCGTAGATCCCGCCAACCCCGATCATAGCGGACTGCTGCTGCTGCCGCTGCTGCTGTTGCGGCTGCCGGTACGGCTGCATCTGCGACTGCTGTTGGTACGGCTGTTGCTGTCGCATCTGCTGCTGCGGTTGTTGGTACGGTTGTTGCATTTGCCGCTGCGGCTGCTGCGGCTGTCGGTACTGTTGCATCTGCGACTGCGGCTGTTGCTGTTGCCGCGGTTGCTGCTGCTGTTGGGCACCAGCTCCCCCAGAGGACCAATATTGCCCGCGGCCGTCGCCGCTGTTACCATTCCGCCGTTGGCCTCCGCCCCCCCCGCCCCCCCCGTTGCCGCCGTGCCCAAAACCACGGCCAACAACAAGAGCATGCGGGTTGGCGGAAACCGCCGGTGTCACAGCCGCCGACCTCATCTCGCTAGCCTTGAGCGTAGCATACCGACCACGCACGACGTCCTGCAGCTCAGCGCGGGTTAGATCACGCTTGGAAAGGCTACTGCGCTTCTCGACATCATAGCGTGCAGGGAGTTGACGGATGAGAATCTGCACAACCTCCAGCTCACTCTTGACAATGCCCACAGCCCGCAACTTGGTCTCAAGCTGTGCAACACGCGAGAAGAATACCTTTGGGTCTTCATCATCCTTCATTGTGATGTTGTCAAGCTCGGCGACAAGAAGCTGACAATCGGCTGGGTGGTTCGGCAAAAACCAATCTTCCATCATCCTCCACGCATCGGCCACGGAATGGCAAGAGTACAGGGTGTTCTCAAATGGGGCCCCCACCGCTGCCTCCAAGATAAAACCCCACATCCTCTTGTGCTCACCAACAAGCTTTGGGCCGAACTGGCGAGTCAGGTATCCGACGTCTTGACAACTCACAACGGGAACCTCAGCACTGCCGGCGATGGTATGCAGGAGATCATGGTTGTCCGCGTAGACCCGGAACCGTCTCCGCCAACTAAGAAAAGCGTCGGCGGTGCAATTTGACGGGAGTCTAGGCACAGGAGTTCTGACAATGGTACCTCCCAAAGGCAAACCCGGCACACCAGTACCACCACCATGACTCACCCCACCTGGCCCCGTCGGCCCCACCGATGCAGATGGAGCCCCTCCAGTAGCAACTAGACCGTCGCCTCCTGGGCTGCCGGCAGGTGCACCCGCCGACTGCTGCTGTGCTGCCCGAACCTCCGCCGTCTCAGCCTTAGCAGCCTCTATAGCTCGCAGCGCCTCATCCAGCCTCGCGCGCACAGCTGCAATATCCTCCGTATCCCCACCATCCGACATATCTAACTAAAACCCTAAACCTGCTGTCCCAGCCTCGAAGTGCTGTCCCAGCTATAAAACCTGCTGTCCCGGTCCCCGCAATGGCCACCGCACCAGCTACACAATGCTGCTGTCCTCGCCCCCGTTGGCCGCGATCCCAGCTTGAAGAAATATAGAAGAAAAGTGTCGACCGCTCCGTTGACCCGGCTCACACAGCTCAGACGCCAATACCCACTACTACCAACACCAGGCCCAATATATTGTGTTTGGGTGCGGTAGCCCGTCAGAGGCCGAAAGAGAAAGAAGGTTGACTCAAGACCTTGGTTGATTAGAGAGTGGCATGCACGGCGGAGGCACGAGGGGCCCCGCACGTATCATGTCCATCATACACAAACATCATTCACGTAACCCCCGGAGGCCCCGTAGATCAGTATCCTGCTGAGCACCCCAAACATGTGGTCTCGAGAGTGGCACGCCCACGTCGGCGAAGACGACCGAAAAAATTGTTTGAACCCCATTTGAAAACAAATAAAACCGATTTACCGCACCGCAACGTCTAGCTTAATGACTGAAATCGTGCTGTAACTCTACTCGCCTTTGGAGTTTCGAGCTCGCGACAGGGGCGATGCGATCCAGAGACTGGCCCGCTGCAGCGGGCGACAGACAGCCGGCGAAAAAAAAAGTCTCAAGGCGACCGCGAACTGATGCACCGTAAAAAAAAGTCTTGTTGTCTGAGTGCAACAATGGCTGAACTCTTGCGTCTCAGGCCTCCGACATAATTGAAGTTAAGTCTATACTCACAGGATGGTCGTCGTGACGTGATACATTTCTTGTTAGAGGGAATCCACGTGTTGTTGAAATGACGTGAAAGATTGACATTTCAGGAGGTTTTGACGTGAAGAGGTTGCGCCGCTTTTTTGGGGGCAAACTCTGACGGCGAAATTTTTGTGAGGAAGCGTCAAAATTAAATTTCACCCAAACTTAAACCGACGCGAAAAGATTGACGCTTCAAACATCGCCACACCCGTGGCCATTCGGCTCAGCCACAAGGTTGGGGGGGGGGTCGACCCTGTAGCTACGCCCCCAAAGATGAAAGGTCCCCCCCCCACCCAACCTTGCACAAGGTCGGGACCTGGACAGGGTCCGCATGAAAGCCACCTTGCCCTTGCCCAAGACCCTGCCAACGTGCATCATTGGTAGACTGCACAAGGTCGGTACCGGGGCAAGGTTCGGCTTGAAAGCCACCTTGTTTAAGGTAAAGACCCTGCCAAGGTACCCACATCGGCAGGGTTAATAGGCCTGGCAAGGTCGTAGCCATTTATTTGGGAAGGTTGCGACCTTGGGCTAGGTTTGGGTACGGGCCGTTGATAGGCCGACGACAGTTTTGAGAAGTGTTGCTTGCTTTTGTTTCACATATATATTCCAATCTTTACGCCCGAAGACTACATGTTCGTTGCAGCCGTCCGCTAACCTTGTGCAGAGACTTGCACACATACACGCGTCAGCCCTTTTATTCTCCGAGCGTCCATCCTACAACAAGGACGCCATCAAGTGCCAAGCGCAAAAAATTGTCTCACGCCCTCGCGTCTACATAGAGCTATAATGCTATAGTCTTCGAGCATAGCAAAACACCTAACTAAAGGCCTACATGACCTTCTACCTACTAACAGATCTCGGACAAGAGTGGGCTCCAAATTACCTCCACAAAAGTCATAGGTTCCACATCCAGTCCATTATGGGCACCATCAAACTGCTGTGGCACATCAGAACCGCGACGACGCACGTTGCTTAACAGGGTGCACATAAACAAACATCCGACCATGATCCAACTAACAAAAGCGTGGACGTATTGTGCAAAGGTGTTTATCTACAGGACACCTCCGTGGGCTATGAAGGTGACGTATGCACTATTATATAATTCACCCAAGATTAAGATTATATGGTGGCGCTACAGAGATAAACTGCTAGTACCATCAGGACGCACCGGGTCTCTAGACCACATTGCTGCAAATCTGGCGTGTGTTGTGTCGTTCAAGACACACCTCGAAAATTACACACCAGAGATATCACTACATGTACTACGCTGTGTGCCTGATTTAACTCATCATCACGATCGGAATACCTACATACAATACAACCGCGACGACGCACGCCTGAATTTAAACAGGGTGCACGTAAACAAACATATAACCATGATCCAACTAGTAAGCGTGGACGTATTCTACAAAGGTGTTATCTACAGCAGGACACCTCCGTGGGCTATGAAGGTGACGTATGCACTATTATATAATTCACCCAAGATTACGATTATATGGTGGCGCTACAGAGATAAACTGCAAGTACCATCAGGACGCACCGGGTCTCTAGACCACATTGCTGCAAATCTGGCGTGTGTTGTGTCGTTCAAGACACACCTCGGAAAATACACACCAGAGAGAACACTACAACCTTGTGCCTGATTTAACTCGCCAGGGCGGTCAGAATACCTACATACAATACAACCGCGGCGACGCACGCCTGAATTTAAACAAACATGTCAGGCATCATGAAGGAGCTACATGAAATCGACACCCGCGCCTGACAAAACGCCGGCAAAAAAGAGAAGATCAGGTCGAAACCTCCTCCATGGCCACACCCTCGGCGTCGCTGTCCGAGCCGTCGTCACCATCAGAGAGCATGGAGTTGGCGGGGGCGAGGGTCTCGGGCACCTCGTCACAGGAGTCAACATCGGGGCCCTTGCGTGCACCTGCCACATGTTTAAGTTTGAGGACACACAAGGAGGAAAATCGGAAGGTGAAGGACGGAGTATAATCGCGTGTACAAAATTGTATTCAAGATTGGAAAGGGTTAGGGGAGCTGACCAATGTGCCTGTCGCTGTTTGCGTCCGTTACCATGTGAACAAGCATCAAGGCACCACAAAAGCCCTATACACAAGAGGTGAAATTCTTCGTCACATGCACGCAGGGGTACAAAAGCGAACGCGACCAAAGTAGCAGATGCGTCCTTTTGTTGTGAATGGGTTACTAAAACAATAGATCAGGTATGCACAGCAATCCCACGCAGACGAACCAACCCTCCCCACCACCCCTCCCAAGATCCATATTTCGCCCAGTAGGTATTAAAAAGAGTCTTAAATGAAATAACACTGTGCTACAGTAAAACTTGAAAAGCGTACCCGGCTTCAAGTACGGGCAAGCTAGTGCCTCGTAATCGGTGCAGCCGATCGTCTCCATCGTGATGTCGAGGCAGCCCTCCAGGTTCTGGCTAGCTCCATGCGCCCAAAGGAACACGCGCCGAAAGAACCTGCAGGATAGTTGGCGAGACGGAGGGCAAAGTAGACAAGAAGAGGGAGGTGTCACGACATGCAACACCGGTGGAATGCACGGGTTTGTAGGACGACAGAGTAATGTTGATCACACAAACACATTTTGCTGCTGGGAAGGACCGGTGTGGACCAAATTGGCTCCCATATGTCAAGGGCGTGATGGAACACAAGCTTGGTCCAACGGACGCACGCACACACACACACTAAACAAAATACCATGTTATATCTGGGTGGTCTCAACGTTGCCTACACGCCGGACCTACGTTGCACTCACTCTTTCTGGAACACGGTATTGGACGACCCGCCCTTCTCGAGCACGGCCCAGCGTCTGACCCGCTTGATGGCCATGGCCATGTTGTCCAACTCCTCGTCGTCGATGATCACCTTCATCAGCCCGATGGCCACCTCCACCATTGGCAGGGCTACCTGTGCGTGTGTTGCCATGACAACAAGGAAGCCAAATGACCCCACAACAGGTACGAGATGTGTAGGGAGTGAGTGTGAGTAGAATAATAGAATGCATCACACGCGGCGACCGAACGGAGTACGCGGCATCGAGGACATAATAAACACCGGTCTTCAAGTCATGAGACAAAGAAAATCAAGACGTGGCTGCACCGGCTACACGCTAGGCTGTCCAAACTTGCACGGTCTTCAAGTCGTGAGACAAAGAAAATCAAGACGTGGCTGCACCGGCTACACGCTAGGCTGTCCAAACTTGCACGGTCTTCAAGTCATGACCAAACTAATTTTAATACATGGCTGGAAGGGCTACACGCTAGGCTGTCCAAATTTGTGCTCACCTTGTCAACGAACAGGACAGTCCCCCCCCCCCATACGTCGTCCGGCTCCAAGGAATCCCACCCTCCCGTCCTGTGGGCCTGTAGGGGCAAGTCGAGGATGGCTCCGACTAAGATGCGCATGTCCTGCGTGGGTTAGGGAGAAATAGACACGAAGAGGGGTCGAAGGAAGTAAAGAGGGTATTAGCCATCGTGTGTATATAATCGAGGATCGTCGATTCCGGGCACGCTTTGAAACTTGCCGCGAAACTACTGCACACATATGCCACGCAACAAAAAAAACATGACCGACCGATTGGGTTGGTACGTTTAGACGCGAAGCGGGGGTCGGCAGGTTGCCGTTTTCTGCTGGTGGCGCAATAGATAATGTGTTTCTACGACCCACCACGCGCGACATGACACATCTGTACATACTCACGTCGGTCTTTGCCACGACCGCAGGGTCAAATGCAATGACGGCCCGGGACGCTGCCCTCAGGATCTCGTCCGTGCTCTGGTCGCTGTCTTCGTCCGACAAACTCTCCAGCACTGAGAGGATGTAGATCATGACGGCCAGCCTCACGGCCTTGTGCCACGTGCCACGTGCGGACTGGAGCGCGGGCCGAAAGGTCTCTGTGTTTGGAGGGCGTTAAGACATAAATGACAGACGGTTTTGAACGGACTTCGTCAGGCACGCATAAACAAAGAGGGCACAACTGTTAAGAACCTTTTGCCGACCCAGGAGACAACAAACAGAATGTAGCTGCCACATCGGAACACCCCCCCTCCCCCTCCCATGCGAGGTCTATGGTCTTAACTATTACGGCATGCATGATACCTAGTACACCCCCCCCCCCCCCCCGAAAATGCAGACGGCGCAACGCATCACGTTACGTTCCACGGCGGTGAATCGCGGGTGTAGCGCTGCAGCGAGACATCTGTAATGAGTCACCCGACAGTATTGATATTCGCTCGTGTACTAGTCGCCACAATAAACAGCCCGCCACAAGCAAGGTAAGTCTATTTCCGGACGCATGTGCGATTAGAGCAGGTCGTTTGTCCGACTCCTACGAAAGTGGTAGGCTTGTTGCGTGGCGTGAACGTCCATGTTCGACATCGAGGCGAAATGTAGTGTGTTTCACGTCAGTCTTAGTACGGGAGAAATAGTATATATTTCGATCACAGCACAGCCGGTATACGTCATGGCCTAGCCATAATCCTTGTGCCATTGCAAGTCGTCAACAAGACCGCCAAAATATCTATACAGAGACACAGCACTCACTCATGAACGCCGCGCACTTCATCCCACCGGGCTCCCAGAACCCGTAGGACATCCGGCACCACGGATTCGTGGCAGGGTCCGCCCTCCCCATCCCAAACGAGAAGTTCAGCTGTTGGTCGCCGATGATGGCGTGACTCCAGACAACGGAGATGCCGGCGGTAAAACCTCGGTTTGCGCCTCCGGACTGCCTGCCGCTGTGAACTGCAGGAGTCGCCGCGGTCTCCGCGCTGCCGCCGAACATGGGGGAGAAAACCAGCTGCACCTGCGAGATGCATATCGTCCGTATAGCACAAGATCGGGGGCGGAAAATCCAGCGACGCGTGAGAGAGAAGTCGTGGGTTCTATGCTACTTAGTCTTCGACGATGGGAATGCTGAAACCACGCTTTTCGGTGCAAACACAACCATCAATCATCCTCGGGCTGAACGGCGAGCACAAGACATCAATGTACACAAGACTCCTACTCGTGTCACCATTCGGCATGTACGACGATCCTGGGTTACCAAGGATACATATAAGTTAGTAGTTGTGGTTCCACCTCCACACGACGCCAAGCCCCTTATGTACCGCCGTCGGTGACACAAGATACCGCACCCCCTGCTGCTGTGAACAATATCGATATTTGCCACACAGTAACTGGCACAACCAAAACGGCGGCATGAACCATCTCGTCGAGAGCTCTCCGAAAACGTGGCGTTTCATTTCTGCATGTTCATGGTCCTGGACTGAGGTTAGCTTTTTATAATCGGCCCAGGGGTTGTGGCATATTGTGCCACCTACAGAAGGTGGTGCGTCTATATTATAGACCGACCGGATGGTGGGAAACTCACGATTCTAGGACTTCGGCGGCAAAATTTCAGCCAACACCACAAAAAAATGCACCCGCATCTACGCAAGAAACACAAAAGCACAAGCTTAGATTATAACGAGACGTGCGTACCATGTACGTGTTTTGCAACACTCTCTCTGACAGGGACACAAAAATTCAACTCACATGTTCCGCCATGTGCTCTTGCAGGAGGTATATGAAGACGCGTGGGGCCGCGTCTGGGCCCAAAACACCCATGACGCTAGCCATGGCGTTTTCAGGCTTCATGGATGACGACACCGTGAAAGCTGTGCCGTCGCCGTGGCTGACACCTCCAAAGCTGGAGGCAGCGGCAGGGCGCGCGGACGAAGAAATGTCGCCGAACTCCGCCGACACCCTTCGAGTGGAGGAGGCACGCGGCGCCGTCACGCCAGGCGACGCCGTGGCCGCGGCACCGCTGGCGGCGCCGCCACCGTCGTCCATACTGGAAAATCCTGGCAGTGATGGCCGGCGGCTCGACGGCTGCGAAGATGCCGACCCAGGAGCCGTTTCGGCAGCCTTAGCGCTCCTGACGGACGAGAGATCCGCCTCTTGCTCTTCCTCCTCGGGCTCCTCCTCCTACAAAGGACGACGGACAAGGGACCACGACGCAAAGAGAGCAAGATGAATAAAATATTTGTTGTTGAGCCCCCCGCGATGTAGCGGTCACGGTATCTCGTGCCACCCACTACGGTACTGGTCACGGTATTGGTAGTGTAATGCATACGAGTAAAGTATGTAGCGCACACACACCGACGACCCTCCGTGTACACGATCGAAACACAGCGCAGATACATGAGGCTACACAGGTGGAGTTCGACTCCCCTTCCCCAAAATGTTGGATGCCCGCGCCCCCTTGTGGAGACCTTTGTCAACTGAATTTCTGCCCTTTTTGAGGTTCGGGTTGGGTTCAAGTGTCCGACCTCGACAAAAGTCTTCACAAGGAGGCGCGGATATTGTCTACATATATGGGGGGAAGGGGGTCGACCTCCACCAACGTACCGCAGGGAATTTAGTCGGCTACACCGCGCGGCACGCTACCTCGCCCTATGTGGTAACTGGGCCAAGTTGGTCAGGGCTAGGTTGCGTACGGCCGAGGGGCCAACGGTCAAGACGGTTATGTGCGCATTTAAAAACCGAAAAAAACAAAACTTGCCGTTGGTTTTTTGTCAGTACCTAAACAAGTTTCCCAATCATCCAGTAGACGTGTCCGGCACATGTACCCCTATAGACAATAAATTCGTCCCGAGATCTACGCATGAAGCATCCATCGAGGCAAGAACCGTACAAAACACGAAGAGGTGGGCGTCCGGGCCAAGGAGATAGCCCTCCAAAACAACCCCCTTTAAAACAACCCTCGATTTGATCAAATTTACATGAAAAACGCACGTGGAATATTTTGCTGTCGGCAGCCGCCTTCCCGACAGCGGGCTTTCGGCGCAGGCGACGACGGCGGCGTTCACTGTGACGACCCAGGATGTCATCGTCGAACTCGTCCAAAGGACCAAGGTAACGCTCAGCCTCCCTGAGAGCCGCTGCAGAGTATGTTTGGCCGTTGTCAGTCGAACTTACATTCATCTGATCACGCTGCTGCTGATCATGGCGTTCAACCGTCGACGCTTTCTTCTTTCCCTTTTTCCCCTTCTGCTTCGACCTGGAGAAGGCCGATGCAGACAGGACGCCTCCACCCGTACGCGCGACCCAATCCTCCTGGATGCTGTAGTCCCTCAAGGGAGGCGCCCCGGCGCTGCTCGCACGCCGTGCCATGATCTCTCGTGCGTAGGGAGTGTGTGAAGGCAGGCTAACAGCAAATCTATGTTCAAGATCAGAGCTTCAACCATCGGAGGGTTTCAATGACAAAAGGCGTTATGTTGCGGTTTCGGAGCCTATTGCGCCGCAGTTATATATCAAATTCGACGCGCTGTGCGCACGTGTATGGTATGTTCTGTGTCGCATACCCGGTGTATGACCCCCAAAGCATGGAGAAGAGGGGGTCTATTGTGTCACATAAACGATGTACAATCGCGACCCAAGGCGTGCACGTCCCCACCCTTCAGAGGGACGGTGGACTTGTTTCTGCGGACACGAGGCGCGCGACGCGAGGTCGTTAAGGCAACATCAGAATGCGAGACACGACGGCAGGCGTAGCGCTACGGGGGCGGAGGGGGGCACAGCAGGACCGCAGCATGTGCGGCACGACCACGCATCGACTGGTCGGGGCACGAGTAGATGGTCTATTCCTAGTGAAGGTGTGTTATATGTATTGAGAGTTTTACATTGACAAAATTAAAATTATAAGAGCCATAATTATGCCGCACGAGAGACACACACACACTTCCCTCTAGCTGACGCTGTCCCGACGATTAAAGCTCGATTCACCTGCAGCAGAGAACGGATTGAGCATTTGATAGAGTACAATAGTAGGTTGATGCATTTCGCGCAAACGTAAAAACGCTCTCCCACCTCTAAAAACTCTTTGTACCAAGTATTGCCGAAACCAAGTCCAACAGAAGGAACAATCTACAACTAACTCGCGACGCACAGGTTTGGCGGGTGGTTCATCCGATGTACGTCGTAGCGTGGTATCGTCCGGCACCAACTTGGACGAAGTTGTCCGAAACGCAGAGCTTGCAAGGCGAGGTCCGAACGACGAGGACGAAGACACTTTGCGAGATCGGTTTATGATGAACTGCGAATTTGTTGTAGACGATAGAAACTACCCCAGCAGCAGCGAAGGGTCTACTGGGAGTGGTGACATAGGCTGGGCAAATGCCGACAACGTAGACCATGGCCATGTCGACGACGATTCTGACGCTAAGTTGGATTCGCCTGGTGGTGAGATAGGAGAAGCGAAACCGACTGATGACGCTGGTATAGGCGGTGCGGCGGGTGCACCGATCACAGAACCAAGTGACAGCCACATGCCGCGCCTAGGAACTTACCACAAGCCTATTTGCGCAGCGCTCGGTGCAGTCCTCATGGAAGGAGGGGCCCAAAACCTTAGGTACAACACAAAGGCGGAAAAGTCACCGTGGTATCCCTTCAAGACCCAATCCCATTTGTTGTTGATGCAGTTAGTCACAAAGGAGCAGATGTCTAGGGCGACGTTGGCCAGGTTATTGTTTATGCTTCGGTTCAAAGATTCGGAAACAGGGGGTGGATTTGACATCAAAGACCTAGACGGCGTACAAGCCGAGCACTTCGTTGCAAGGACGCGCGACTGTATGAACTTGTACGAAGTGTACAAGCGAGACGTGCGGTGCTCGCCCACCGCCATCGCTGCCGGGGGCAAAGATAGCACTTCGATTGTGTACGATGTCCCGGCGAACTTGATACTCAAACGCCAGCTGGAAGCTTCGTCGTCGATGAAGACGTTCTTACGCAACCCGGGAGGAAAGCAACTTTCTAGAAACGAGGCAGTTGGGTCCAATCTGGCCTCTGAGCACATTTTTTGTGGCCCCGAGAGACCTGTGGGCAACCGGAGACGTGCAAACATGCACGGTGTCCTAGCTAGATCAAACCCTCACTACGGCTACGACGGTATTAGGCCGCCTGGATCGAAGGGGAGGACAGTTCACGTAAACGACGTCGCAATAGTCGCACTACAAGAGGATGGTACTGGTGCGACCAACAATAATAGCGTTTGCCGAGTCTTGGAGGTTTTTTGGGATGCTGAGAAGAAAAAAATGGTAGCGTCAGTACGCCCGTTCAAACCGGCGATCGATGTCGCCCAGGATGAAACTGATGGTAGGGGTGCGATTTTGACAGCCTACGGTGTGCAATTCATGAGAGTATGGGAGCCACAAGGCACAGACAAGTCCATCACGGAGGAGGTGGGGACCGCTGACATCAAGGACTTGTGCGAAATCTACCCGGAAGCCGACGTCAAAGCTCGCCAAGACAGAATCCCGGACTGGAAAGAAGGGGAACGTGTGTGCGACATACAACCGTTAGCTTGTGTCGGTGTGGCGTTTGTTACTCCTGCCAAAAAACGAGGCGGAAACCGGAAGCGAAACGCACACGGTGGCGCAGCATCATCCACATCGCCGCTATACCAACGGTCCGAGCCGTGGACGCTGGAGGGCACTCTGGATGAACCGCTTTATACCATCCGCGGGGATGGATACTTTCACAACGTCTCGAACAGGCCGTTTGTGAGCGTGCCAGTCAACTACCACATCGATGGATTTAATGCCCACGGTCTCGGAAACAAGAAATCGGTGGGAGGGACGTACCTGAGCTGGGCGTGGAATAGCTTAGCTCTGCAGAGAAGGAAATTAGAGATACACGTTGCCACAGTCGCTTCTCCGGGGGCGTCGTGCGAGGGGGAAATGCTTCTGCAATGCAAGATTCTGCATGAACTTGAAAAGGGGTGCATCGCCAGAGCTTTTGTGCAAGATCGGAATGGGAGGTGGAAGGAAGTCGAGTTGCGTCAACCCCGTACCTCGGGGCATGTCGCTTGTGGTGCTTATATATATATCGTTTTCCTCTCAGTATGTATTCTCATGTCCACAAGCACAACAAATGTATCAACTGAGAATAGCGTCGTGCTGTGTTGGGCGCTGCAAAAAAAAACAGTCGGTACTTCATTACACATGCCCAAATCACGCGCGTTTGCATTTGCTCTGGCCAACCGAATAACATCCTCTTCGTGCGTTCGGCTTCAGCAGGTGTTTGTCCGAGGCGGGGTGTTGCTGATCGTGGCAGACTCGCCACAACGAGCGCTCATTCTATACTGCAAGCATCCCAACGCTTCCACCTTGCATCCGTGCCCTTACTGCCTCGTGGGGCAATTTGGAGACGACGGTGGAGAGTTGGGGTCACCAAAGTATGACATAGAATCGAATCGGAGAACGAGAGGACAGATTTTGAGGGGGAGACGTACTCTTGCTGAGTTGGCCCCCACGCCAGCGGCCCAAGCGACCGCCTCAAAGGAACTCGGTGTGGCGGTTCCAGTACCGGAACAACCCATATGGCCATTGCACGACATCGTCAAGATCGATGCGCTCAAGGCAACCTCAGTCGAAAGCCTGCATGCGGATGCCTTGGTAAGTTCGGGTAATTGAGAGTGTATATACATATATTATTGTATAATCGGGCGACACCACACCTGGGCTAAAAACCCTCATGAGAACAAAATGACGTCGCCGCGTGGAGAAAAAAGGCATTCGGGAGTCGCGTTCGCGCGATGTCGCCGTGGAGGAAGCGAGTGCATGGAAAGGGTGATGAGGGCCGTGGCTTAACGTACCTACGTGTTTATGTTCGTGCGAGAGATTATTATGTATTTTTTTGTCTGATGTCTACTTGTGCTCCGTCGTAATAATATTTGGCATGCACGTTCCTCCTCTGTTTTCTTTAACGTGTGTGTAATCGTTTTGCGCGACGTAGAACGTCCAGTCCCTCGTTCAGAGTTTCATCCTGACGAGCTTGAATCCGGCGGGCCGGAAACTCGTGTCCGCCATCATCAGGGAGCACGGTCACGCTTTGTATCCACCACGCGAGGCACCACTAAAGGATGTCGTCACCAACTACTCTTCCCTGACGGGCAGCAATAAGTGGCTGTTGTCCTCCATCATGCTGCTTGTCTTTCGACCGGTTCTTCAGAGCTCGTGGTCCATGGTGAGACCGCGTGTGTGCTCAGAAGACCTGATTAGGTTATTAAGGTCGTCGCCCTTCCATGAGAAATAGAACATATATAATAGTCTGCTACGCCACCACTTCATCCGCTTCTTCTACGTTCCGCGTGCAAATTGAAATTCTTCTTTGTCTCGGCTCTCTTTCTCTCTCTAACTACCCCTTCTATCTCTCTGCCCACCCACAACAGGCGAAATACTTTAAACAAGACTTCATGAAGACTCTGGTCTCAGAGTGGAGAGGGCAAAACGCCGCGTGGGAGGGAATGCTGACGCTCGTGCAATCCGCATCTGCGTTGTCGTTTGCAGTTCGAGCGCCTTCCCACAACGATGAGGAACTAAAACAGCTACACACGCATGCGCTAGATATGGTGAGATAAGACGAGACGTGGCTTCATGTATTAACAAATGGTCCGTGAGTGTGGGCATATTACCCACATATCCCCTCTTCGACGTATGATTACTCCGTTATTTCTTTCGTACACTAACCTCACATGCTCAAATATTGCTTGTGGGACATAAATTTTCTTGACGGGTGTAGTCTGCACAACGCCAAGACCCTTGAAGCCTCATCGTGGCCTCCCTCGTTTGGGATGCCGTTCTGGTGTGGTACCTTTACACTGCCCCCGACGCCCCCTCTCTTTTGATGTCTTGTAATTTAATTTTCTTGCGCATCTATAGGTACACACGGCGAAGCAAGTTATCGGGAGGGACGGCGTGAGGCCTTCAATGCACAGCATCCTCCACTACTCGGATGCTGTGAATAACCACGGTGAGATTGTGGGATTTTTACTTCTACATGGAGGCGTCACCGTAACGAGCTTGTACGGGCGAACGTCCCTCGAAATAAGTACGTCGTGTAACACTGTACATCTTTTGTGCCAACACCATGAAAAAGGTCTCATTACATTTTCCATACCCAATTGCCTCCTTCTTTTCTGCCGACGCGTCAGGACATATGCCCAACGCCTCTAGCGGGGAATTCGCCCACCAGAAACACAAGAGGGGAAACAAATCTAGCAGCGGGAGAGACGTCCCAGCGCACTATATGCGTCACATGAATACCATGTGCGCATGGCATGCCATGGCGAACGGCCTACCATACTCTGTGATGAAGTACAACCGCTCGACAAAAAATCGAGAGGAGGTCACCGTTCGCCCCGGAGTTGGCTGTATCCGAGTCGTACAACAGTTGATGAAAGAGCTTCCGGGAGGACTGCCGGGAGGACTAGGGGACCCAAGCGACCTTTCGGCTGCATCGGAGCCAACTACATCAATGTTAGCAGGCTCACATCAGGGTTCGGCACTTTGGGAGGCAACTCTTCTTGCTGAGGCCGGACAACCAACGAATTGCGCAGGGTCTTGGCAGGAGGTCGTATCTACGGGAC